GTTCAGCAGAGTTTACAGTGTCTCTCAGTAGGCTCATAATGAAAGGGATTTATGAACTGGTGATGTAACACTGACTCACACCCTGAGTAAGAGTATAGCTGGGTTGGTTAGGTAGCAGACAAAGCATAGTGACAAATAAGACATGGCTACACTATGTTGTCATGCAAGGATCACCGACAGGGAACAACAAGACAATGCATCCTTTTATCCACTTATAGGCTTATACGTGCATGAAAATCAGACCCACTTTGGCATATGTGAGATTACTGCCTAGAGCCTGTTACTATGAGGATGAGCTTTCTATCAGTGACCTTCAGACATAAAAACTACAGTGATAATCACATTGAGAGGCTGTTTATTTTTATGTGAATTATTGACAAGATTAGAAGAGAATTTAGATGTCTGAAACCAGGTGAAATAGCCCTAAGCGTAAGGGTGTGATCCACTAAGATTGCCACAGTGACAGCAAGCTATGGTTAACAGGTAAATGTGGGTGGAATGATGATACATTTTACTTAGTGCTTCAAATAAGAATTATGTGTAATCTAGTGTAAAGCAGTATTCGCCATTCATTCAGTTAAGAGAAAACACAAAAGGTTCTATTGTAATTTCTCTTCCATTGTTCTCTTGTAACTCCTGTAAACTGAGCATGAGGTAATATCATTAGTGTTGCCATGATTGCTTCTCTTGTTTCACTGACGATAATTTAATTAATTTAATTTATTTGTTTAGCGCTTTACAACACCCAAGGGTGCTCAAAGTGCTTCACTGCAAAACATTTAAAAAAAAAGCAGAACATGTTATGACACATAAACTAACAAAAAGGAAAACAAAGTATTCTGTGAATACTATCTGTAAATCAGAATATACAGTGATGCAAAGTAACTTTTTTTTCTGAAAAAAGACATTTTGGATGTGGTTTACAAAGCTCTAGACAGCAGTAATTGAATATGCAGGTTTCTGTGTTTAGATTAAATGAAGACAATAAGAACAAAGGCATGTGGTTGGCATTAAAAGAATATATTAACATGTCATCTTACTGGCTCTTTGGAAGACAAACAGCACCTGAAGACCATCTGTCCAAATAAATCTGTTGCTATTTAGCCAACGCAGATTCTGAAAATATAAACAAAAACCAAACAAAAAACAGAAATTGTTAGGATGCTTTTAATTAATAATATATAAGAGGGATGAAAACCACTATGCATGATACACTATTTAATAAATATTTATTTAATTGCAGAAGATATGTTGAAGGGTCTTGAGACAGCCTGTAGATTTTTAGTCATGGCTAGAAGTGGGCCATTTCTTCCTTAAGTCCTTTTCCAACAATTTTCTTTCAGCATTTTAAAAATAACTTACTGCAAATACATATCAATATGTTGTGCTATTTCGATGCCAGTGGCTGTTTGTGCACAAACATACCATAAGCCAGGAGTGCAGTATGATACTGAAGGTCAGGTAGAGGGCAGAAAACATTAGCAGAGCTCTAAATCGCTCCAGCAATATGGCTACCAGGCCAACCTGGAAAACGTAGGTGTTAAACAGCATCAACAGAATGATGATCATGTTAAACAGGATTGCAATGTCCTGGGTACTGTCAAATAAAAGGATAGGAAGACAAGAAGACAATGAGAGAGCAGCAGAAACAAAGAGGATAACTGTATTTAATTTCATTCCAGCATCCAAAGTGACCCACTCTAGGCAACTAAAGTGAGCTATGTTTAGTCCAGAATGGTTTCCCCCTGGAGCCAAACTTAATGTTAGGCTGGTGAAACTGTGAGGGACTCTTACTTACATGAAAAGTACTAGCTGGACAGTCGGTTCAGCCCTTAGCAGCTCGCTGAAGGAGTTGACGAACAGGTCAAAGAAGAGCAGGCTGAGCTGAATCAATAATACCAGAGAGTAGTTACTGGTGTGGAGCATCTCCGGCCTGAGGCCTGGGCGCCTGGGCGGACTGTGGTTCCACGATGGATCCAAGGCTGCACTGCACTCGTACACACACCCTACGCAGAAACATTATTTACACGCAGCAGCCCTGACTGCTTGGGAGTCTTAATGAGGCGCTCAGATGGCTTCACTCTGATTGCCCAAATGCAGGTGAACTATGACTGATACAACATCAGCCTTCCGTTTTCTGTATTTAAATTATTCTTGTTTACTTGGAGAAGAACTTCCTTTCAGAATGGCAACTGTTGAATTTTCCAACAAACATTTGGGCAGGGCAGCAGTCTATTTTGTGAAAAAAGCCTTCTGTAATAGCAAAGATTTATTTGAACTGTCATATCAGAAGCCATGAGACATCAGTAAATCCAGCAGATGTTCTGTGGAAGATGACAAGAAACACATTATTCAGCTGAAAAACTCTGTCACAGATTTACATACACTAAACAACAGGTCCTACCAACTCCAACCATACATGACTCAAATTGTCACATAGAGTGAATCCATTTAATGGCCTGATGCTGACACTTCTCTGTCAGTAAACTTTGAACCTGTTTGACCATATTAAAGTGAATTACCTTTTTGAAAAACAGCTGAAAAGCTGAAGGAAGGAGGGAGTGGTGCTTTGTATAACAGTGAGTAGAGTATGAATAACCTGCACTGCTCTGTCACAGCTTTCTGGTCTTAAACATGGATTGAAAATATAAATTACTAAGGAGAGGATGTACAACATTTTAAATAATCAGAAATGGCAAGCTTTATCATTTCAGGGTTAGTTCACCTGAATGATATCTTCTCACCTCTAGTGGTAGATCTAATCAGAAGGTTAGGATTTTATTTGTTCACACTGAAATAAATACACATCTGAAATTTCTGCCTCTCCATTTCCATCATTAGTTTTCATTGAACTACTTAATGAAATGGTTGGCCTGTTGACTTTTCAAATGTCATTTTTCAGTATGAAAGTATGTTCCGTCCATCCCCACTGTAGTGACATCGATCTGTATTTCCTCTCAGAGATTTCTCAAAACCTGGATAAATACTGGAACTACCTGCAAAAACATGCAAATAAGATATGTTTTTATAATGTCAACCAAACCTTAAAGCACAACAAAAATGTACCATAATTTCTTTTGGCAACTGTCTAAGTCAAATTTCAAGCTTCCAAAAACACCTCCCAACACTGGCTACTGTTAAATTAACTCACAGCCAACTCTACACCAGGACAATTAAATAGTAAATTTGTTTACCATTAAGCAACAAATCTGCTTCTCTCCCAGAATGACACTCTCCCAGAAATACAGAACAAGACAAACAGATCGTTCCTTCTCATCCAGACATTATAACCGACTGGTTTTTCACTCATTTGTTGAAAACAGGTCCTTGTGTTGCTGCCACTGGAGGTATTAGTTAAGTACTGTAAGTCTCTTCCTTGGCTTCTCTGACATCTTGTGACCTGAATCCCTATTTGGCAGGCTCCTTCACACTGACTCCAGGTGGATCCTCTTATGACCCCCTCTATTTATAGCTTGGCATGTCTAGCAGGTGTGAGGAAGATTAGAACTCTTGATCAGGAGACCACTTACTCCTGAGAGTCATCCCATGGCACTACTTGGCAAAAAAGTAAAGTTAAAAAGAAAGTATTGTATTACCCCTGTATATAAACAATAATACTTTATGTTAAAGCTGAAACATCTTCTTCAAGGTTTTCCAGAATACAGATTAGAGATGAAGAGTCATGAATTTCCACTCTTGTGTTTAAGAATGTAAGATTTCCTTTAACAAGAATACTGTTATTTAAAAAGCCTTTGTTATGTGTTCTCAGCTTGTAGCTCTTAGTAATGTACAACATAATCTTCCTAGGTAACTCCAGCTTGTTGCTTTACATATATATAATCTCTCATACATGAAGTGCTACCATCTAACTGTTGCCTGTACACAAAGGTGTGTGTACCTGTAAATGAAAACTGCACATCACAGAATGACAGCTTGTGGCTGTCCTTATTTTGTCATGACATTTTTGCATCCATATGAGGATTCCTTTGTTATTTCCTACACCAGGTTTTGTAATAGTGTGTACTCATATGACTCTGAAATTATGGTTTTCTTCTTGCCGTTGTTTAGTAAAATTTTGGCTTTGTTTCCCCTCCGTGAACTGACAACGGGACAACAGGTTAAGGCAGCTACATGAGGACAGGTTATCAGTGGATGCTGTCTGAGCCACTTCCATGACTTTTTCAGTCATATCCCTTCATGATTATGGTAGTGCTTCTAGGAAGGATAACTAGAGTTAAGATAGAAGGAAACCACCGCCATCTAGTGGTAAGTGTGCGTCACTACTTAGAGAAATTTTAATTAAATTTAATTTTGTTTTAAGATATGAAATGTGTAATTGATTTAACAAATCAGAACCTCAGTGGCTTGGGCCTTACTACATCAGGGCCATAATATGGGCCACATATTTACTCTTGCCTTTAAATGCAGTTTTGGGGTATATGAACTTTACTTGAGTATTTCAATTTTTCTTCAATTTGATTTCCCTATTTTTAGAGGCAAATATTGTACTGACTACGCTTTACACCACATTGCAGTCACTTTTACCGTACACATTAATTTAATAATTACTAGTTACTTTTCACAATACAATACAATCACAGGACTTAGTGGGTCCTGGTAGGACGCGGAAGACGGAGGAAATCGTCCGTCTAACTGCGCCATGGGTCACGCAGAAGGTCTTCAACACCCTTAATCAAATTATCATTCTGTTATTGTGAACGCCCAGATATGAAGAATCTAAAAATGCGCATAATACTAATTTGTTTTTGCAACATCCTTACTTTTCTTTCATCCCCTAATCCTGCTTGTATCGACCAGAAGAGAAAGCGTTGCCCCCGGACACAAAAAGGCTCAGGGTGGAGTCAGAGTAGTTCAGTCTCAGACGGGCTGTCGGTGGGCTCAGCACTTTGAGTTCATCTTTCAGTCGGACGGGGCCTTTCCCAGTTAAAGAGGAATGAAAACAGGGGACGTTTAGTGCAGTTTCTACACAGCTCATCTCTCTTTATCGATAGGAAATCAAGGAAACGCAGGTAAGTGATAACAGGAAGGGATCAGTGAGCTAGCGCTTATTGCGATATTGCGTTGGCTACACAACAAGGCAGCAGTGTCGACACATCCGAAGCTTTCTATGAACACTTGGTTACCAAATAGGTTTTCCTCTGGTTGTTGTGGTTTTGAAAAGTAAAACGCTATGTTGTCCTAAAGGTTGTTACAGCAGTAGGCAGCACAGTGAGCAGAAGAAGACAAGTTTAGTTGGTTAGCCTTCACCGGCGACCAGATGAGCTGTAACGTAAACAGGTTTAAATCGTGGAAACAAACGATACGTGTCGACGACAAGTATGAAACCGGGCCATTCACAAAAAAACACAGGCACACTTTCTAGTGGTCTATGGCTGTTGTGGTAGCATGAAGGGTGGGTGAAACCTGCAACCTGTAATCATAAAGCCCACCAGCTGGTGCGGAAGTCATTTGTTTAAGCTTAATAAAGCATTTACATTTTGAATTTATGGATGGAACATGAACATGTGGTGTTTCTGATCATAACTATAAGACCATATTATCTCTGTTACTAATTTGAACATCCATTCAACAACATAAAAGGTGAAAACGTATAGGGCCTAGCTCTTGGTGTTAGTCCCTGTATTAATAGGGCTGTCAGTTGTGCTATTGCAGGTTTAGTTTCGAACTTTATTGGATTAGATTAAAATACCAATAATATAGACCTGACAGGTTTGTACCCTGACTCCTGGGTTTGTCTTCTGTCTTAAAAAAAAAAAACCCTGAATCATTTGCATCATCTTTGCTTTCTCCATGTTTCTGTCTCTGCTGTCCATCCTAGATTTCTCCCCCTCTTCCAACTTCTCTTACCTCACCTCTTCATTCACTCTCTGATATAGAAGTCCTTCCTCTATTTAACAAATCTGACATCAAGCAGTGCTCAGACTTGCACTGTGTTGCGTTATAGTAGTCCTGCTTTATGAACATATTGTGTGAATACAGGTAATGAACCATGGAGTTGCTTTCAAGGTGTCAAGAAGGAACAGAACAATGTTATCTAACAAGTAACGTATTTTGTTTTGTAATCTTAGGTTTGTTGGTTACTATTGTTTAATATGTCATACCTTTACACTGAATTTGGATTCACTTTTATTAGCGATACTTAAAAACAAACCATTATATTGATAGTATTGATTGACATATTGATAGTATTGATTGACATATTTCACAGAGGGTTTTTTTATATTTTGTTACAGCATATGATTAACAGAGGCAATAATTGACAAAGACATCATAGTTAGACAACATGGTTGCTATGCCACTGCCACTGGTGCTTTTTTTTTGTTGCTGTTGTTGTTTGTAGTGCTTCAGTGAAACTTTGTTCAGGTCACACATATATAATTCTCCATAGCTTGGTCTTCAACTTTAGTTTATCAGGCAAGATCAAATGCCATTTTCAGACTGGTAGCACAAAGTTGGCCTACTCACATCCAGATAAGATGCAAAAACTAAGGGGAGGACTTGTCAATTAAATTTTGTTTGTATTTAATTAACAGGCACATGCCAAGAGGGGCATCCATAACAGATGGTCAACAGCCCAGACTACTCACTTGTTTGTGTAGTGCACTCTGCATTGAGAGTAGTGGATGTGGAGGTGGGGGTGCAGACTGGAGAGTCAGGAGGTGAAGAAGGAGACAGTCAGAGGAGGGCGAGTCGGGACTTGACTGGCAAGTGAGCCAAGAGAATTCTGAGGGTAAAAAAAAAAAGTAAGACTCCAGGAACAAAGATTACACAAAGGCAGCAAGACGCCAATGTTGTTAAATGACTGGACTGACTGATAAATCTTTAAAACTCAAGAAGAGTCACATGTGCCATTGTTGTGGTGTTTCATGGGGTTTAAATGTAGAGATTGTTGGGCTAATTAATTGGCCGTTGAAAGAAGATGATTTGGTTTCCTAAGGTGTCGGAAGTTGGCGCCAGGCTCCAGGCAAGTGGGTGCTTAGAATTTCCAGCCTGTGGCCAACTCCTTGCTCCTACTTGGTGATTAGTCATGGATCTCTCAGCATACACGTAATAACTCGGCTCACTGACTGTGCCTACACCACTGATCTAATGCTTACTCCCCCATGCATTAGCCCTGCATCTTATTTGTTAAGAGCATTTCATAATATCAGGTAGGTGAGCTGTTATTTGGTGCTCGTTCTGTGTCGGAGGCTAGCAAACTACTAGTCTTCAGTGCACCTATACCTTATCTCTGTTCTTTAGAGATACAACAATGAGTGATTTAATTGATCAGTAGAAATTTTATCTGCAACCACAAATTTCAGAGGGTTTTTTTTGTTGTTGTTGTTTTTTTTAAGAAAAAAATGCCAAAAATATTTCTGGTTTCAGCTTTGTTAATATGAGAAGTTGCTGTTTTAATTTGACAATACATTGAATATATTTGAATTTTACACTGTCAGATAAACTAAGCTAATTGAAAACATTTTATGAACTAATTAATCATTCAAGAAAACAATTAGCAGAATAAATAATAAAAATAATTTGTAGGACCCTAATTCAAATTATTATTCTTGAATTGTTATTCTTGGGTTTAGGAAATCATTTAGGCTTGTATTGGCACTGCCACCAAAACTTGGTTATCATATTGGCACTTTATAAAAAAATATATTTTACACCATATCTAATGCCAGAAGTCAGGAGTCTTTAATGCTCTATTAAGCAACAGTTACTCAAAGAGTCAAATCAAATCAAATTTTATTTGTATAGCGCCAAATCACAACAAAAGTCATCTCAGGACACTTTACAAAGTAAGGTCTAGACCTTACTGTTATCAATATTATTACATAGGGAAAACCCAACAAATCCCCCTTGAGCAAGCACTTGG